TCAGTCACAACCAAAAACCAAACAAAACCCCTAACACCATATCACCACCAATATAAAAAATAACATCACCATGTCACCACCAACAAAAATCAAAAGATAGTCAATATTCCCAACATAAAAGACAATACCACCATGTCTTAACAAGTCAGTATCACCACCAACATCAAATACATACCAAATAGCCAAAAGAACACCAACATAGCCAAAAGAACACACCTTCAGATGGAGGTTTGAGGGCCAGTCAAGCAACCTAAGTTGTGCTCTGCTGAGTGGAGGTTTGAGGGCCATTGCAGTTGACAGAATTCCCCTGTGATGAAGGCTCAGTTTGTTGCTGCAAAAACACAGGAAAAAAAAAAGAACTAAAAAACTGAAAGTAAAAATTGAATAACAAAAAACTAAAAACTTTTAGATGAAAAAGTGAAAACTGAAAGTTTACCTGCTCAGGATTATTTGTACCAACTCTTTTGTTGCACCTCCTCTTATTATGATTATTTGCTCCACACACAGTGCATCTTTTGATAAGCCCCTTCCTACTGCTATTTGTTGCCATTGACCTCATGTCATTAGCATCAGCTCTTCTCTTCTTTGTTGGCCTACCCCTCTTTTTCACAGCATCAGGAGGCTGAATTGGGCCCATTCCAGATTCTTCATATTCATTCATCCCTGGAACTGGGAAGATCATATGGCTGTACATCCTCAAATACATGTCCTTCTTGAAGAAATCAGACACATAATCACCAAGAGGGAACCTATGATAAGAGATGCATGCCAATGTATGGCAACAGGGGTACCCAACCAATTGGAACATACCACATGTACAGCTCTTTGCTCTCAGTTGCACTATATGGCTGTTTAAACCATGAACCACCTCATACTTGTCTTCTCCAGCCCAAGTAGGGAAACAATTCCTGCTGAACTCCCTTTGCTCTTCAATTTTCTTTACTGTGTTTGGACAAATATCCTCTGAGTATTTTTCTATTCATGCTCTCTTCACTTGGATCCTTGCCATCAGCCTTCTTCTGATCCATTCAAACATGTCTATAATAGGCATGTTCTTGGCTTCCAAAATATAATTGTTGAAAGACTCAGAGATATTATTGACAATGACATCACAAACAGCATTAGGAGAGAAGTAACACCTTGCCCAATGTTCTTCAGGGATAGCCTTCAGCCATTCAAATGGAGTGACCATTCCATCCTTCTTAGGAACAAGCCTTTGGATTTGGTTCATGCACCTCAGATGCTCCTTCACATTATAAGTGCTAGCTGCCTTCCAAAACCATTTTCTTAAATCTAGATCCCCCCCACTTCTGCTTAAAATTGTTGTACATATGCTTCAAACAATATCTGTGTTCTGCCCCCTCAATTTCACTCACAGCTTCAAGCAAACCCTTCTGTCTATCTGAAACAAATGTCCATTTCTTCTCCCTGTGTGGATCTACATCTCTCAGTAGCCTTTCAAGAAACCACCTCCAAGAATCTGTCTTCTCAACTTCAACATATGCCATTGCAATTGGTAGCATATTATCATTGCCATCCCTACCAATTGCTGAAAGTGGTTGACCACCATGGAGAGTCTTCAGAAAACATCCATCAAGCCCTATAATTGGCCTACAACCAGTAAAAAATGCTTGTCTCAATGCAGTTAAGCAAACATACATCCTCATGAACTTTGGAGGTGAAAAATCGTTGTTCACCTTCAGTATTAGAGAACTAGCAGGATTGTGCTTGTATACTGTTGAACAGTAGTCATACAACCTCTTATACTGTTCCCCATAGTCAACTTTCAATAGAGAAAGGGCATACACCTTGGCCCTGTATGCCTTGTGCAGACTGACATCAACCCCACAATGCCTCTTGATTTTATTTTTCAAACTTGCCAAACCCTCACTAGGATTGTCTCTCATAGTATCTACCATCCTCTTCCCAAGATATTTGTAGTCTGCCTGTGTGTTTTATGTCCTGTAGGAACATGTGTGTTTTCCTTTCAAAGTCTTGATCTGAAAAGTTGTCAAACCTCCAATAATTGAGGCCCTCAAGGACCAGTCAAACCCACTTTTGCATTGTGCTGTGATGAGCTTGGCTTCATTCTTGGGAAACTTCAAATCATAACCTTTTCTAACAGACCAATCTCTAATCACATCCTTGAATTTTGCTCTGCAAGGGAATTTTTGACCAACTTTCAGCTCAAACCTTGACATATCAGTACTATCATTCCATTCATCAGGATCTTGCAGGCAGTTGTCATCATCCTCAGCCTCACTGTACCAATCTTCTTCTCTAGCCCTTTTGAAACCTTCAGCTTCTTCTCTTGCTTTTTTTTCTGCTTTCTTCTTTGTTTCATCCATTCTCTTGCCCTCTTGTGTAACTTCTTGGCATGATCATGACCCCTCTGTTGGAATATGTCATCATCATCAGGGCCTTCTAGATCTTCTAATTCCCATTCAGATAATTCAGAGGACTCACCACTACCTTCTTCAGGTTCATACTCTGAATCCTCTGAATCCTCTGAATCTCCAAAATGATGTTCTGCCCCCTCATCTTGTTGTTCTGCCCCCTCAGCTTGTTGTTCTGCCCCCTCACCTTGTTGGTCTGCTCCCTCACCTTGTTGTTCTGCCCCATCAGTTTGTTGTTCATCCTCTTGGCCAACTGTCTGAGATCTATCTTCACCATGCTGTGCTTCAGCTTCATTAAATGGCTCGTCTCTTTGACCAGTACCATCATGTGAACCAACATCATGTCTCACTTCTGTAGGATCCACCTCATGAGAACCAACATCATAAGCATATTCTGTAGGATCCACCTCTTGTGGACCAACACCATCACCATCTTCTGTAGGATCCACCTCACCAACAGCATCTTGTTCTTTTTCAACTGATTGCAAATTATCCTCTTCTTGTGCTTCTTTATCACTCTGTTGTGGTGATGTTTGTTGATCACAATACATGTCAATTAGAATATCTTCTTCAGTCTGTGGATATTCAAGAAGTGGGATCTCTTCTTGTGCAGCCATCAGATTCCCATCAATGTCCAATTGTTGTATAGGGCCTTGCAAATCTTCAAAGTATAATGGGATGAGATGTTCTCCTGTATACTTCTTCACCAACTTCAAAATATCACTGTCAGTGGCAATCTTCATGAACTTCTTTGCTGTTTGTAGAGTTTTTCCAGGCTTGTGTGAATAAATGTCCACAACGGATGATTTGCCACCTGCCTGCCTGTACACATCCATCAACTCAAAGTAGGACAATCTGTCCACATCATAGTAGTCAACTGCAACTCTTAGACCACCAAAGTAGTGCGCAAATGGATGATATTTTATCTCCCCACCAACTCTAACATCAAATACAATAGACATATTCTGCAAATCAACAAGTATGATATGATTAAAATATGAAATCAGGGAGCACAACATAAATAGAATACTATATACATCACACATGACCACAAATTCAACCTACAGAGAGGATACATTAAACAAAGAACAAAGACACATCACACATGACCACAAATTGTTCCAACAAACAACATCAATACATTTCAAAGTACAAAATTTCACACAAGGACCACAATTCGACCTACAGACAATATAAAATAAATAACCCCAATTCCCAAATCAGAAAGCCCTAATTTAAAAATCAAAAGTAAGAAATTGACTAACAACCCTAATTTTCAAATCAGAAGCTATCGACTTTCTCTACTTTGAAAATGAAGCTATCGAAACTCCCTAATTTCCAAATTATAAAACCCTAAATTTCAAATCAAAACCCCCTAATTTTCAAATCGAATAACCCTAATTTTCAAATCAAAAAACTCTAATTTTCAAATCAGAAGCTATAGACTTTCTCTACTTTCAAAATGAAGCTATCGAAACTCCATATTTTCCAAATTAGAAAACCCTAAATTTCAAATAAAAAACCCTAATTTTCAAATCAAAAACCCTAATTTTCAAATCAGAAGATATCGATTTTTCAGAATTTTACAAATGAAGCAATCGACTTTCCCCAATTTTAAAATCACAAGCACGACACTTCACTTGACCAAAAGTCCTATTTTCCAAAACACATAGCATAAGAAATCTAATTTCAGGAATGCAACTATCGGCTTTCAATGTAATAAACTTTAATCGTCGAGGATTCGAAAAGTACCTTATGTGCCGATATATGTCTTCGAGAAGAAAGAATTTCACTGCAAAGAGAACCCTAGATTTGGAATATCGAAGAATACTCCTCAATCGACTTCAACATTGAAGATAAATAACAGATCTGTTATGCGCCATCGATACCTTTACAAATTAATAGTTGAAAATTAGCAAAATTTTGGACAATCGTGGTGAAGAAATTTGGGGTTTTTTCGGGGAGAGAGAGAGATAACAATTTCAAAGTTAGAGTATTTTCTGTTTCAAATGGGACCGACTTCTCAAATGACAAGGGCATAACGGGATGTTTGACAAAAATGTAACGGTGTTAGCACCCAAACATAAGTTGGGGAGCGTATGCTGGGCAAAGTACAATACAAGAGGGTTTGATGCAATTTTTAAAATACAGGGGGATAACGCGCAGATTTAGTATAATACATGGGGGTTTGGTGCAATTAACCCTAAAAGAAACCATGAAAAAAGAACAAGAAATTTTATTATGAGGGAAAGTTTCGTCCTTAAGATTTATTCAAAAAGATATTTAGTTGATTAGAACCACATTAGTAATCAAGAAACAAAATAGTAAACTGTAGAAAATTCTTTTTTTTTTTATTGTTCGAGAACGATATGATTACTCATAAAACACACCAAAATATAAAAAGTTCCAAACAAATACAGACTGACTGGGCAACACCCGAAATAAATACTGAAGGCATAAGCCAGAGAGACCCGTACATAAACAAGCCTATGTCTCGACAACACACACATCACAACCCTTACTAGAGGCAGTACACAAACACTATGCCCTCCAGCAAGCCAACTACAACTAACAAAGCTACCTAAGACAAAACCAGAAGCAAATCTAGCCACTGTACTGAGCCTCATACCTACCTAGTTCTGCTTCAAGTTCATTTAGCACTAGCTCCACCTCCACAAACTCAAACCAAGCTCTAACTACTGCATTGACTGTGCTCTGCTCTGACCTCCAAATATTTTCAAACTGCCACAGGTTTCGAGTCTTCCAAAGCCACCATAATATATATGTTGTCAACTGCATCCTGGCAACTGAAGTCTCAGATTTATCAACAGCACATAGGTTACCCCACCAGTCTCGAAATCTGCATAACTCAGTTAGTACCCCATCCCAGCAAACTGGTGCATGTTTTCATACCAACTTTGCTCTTTTATATTTGAGAAAAACATGTTCTATAGACTCCTCCTTCTCACCACAGCCTTTGCACATCACATCTACTAGCATTTCTCTCTGCCTCATATTAACATTACTATAGCATTTCCAGACAAAGTGTTTGAGTTTACTTTCTATCCTTTGTTGCCAGCTTCTCTTCCTTATCATTCGTTCTCTTATTGTTGTATCACTTCCTTCTGCAAGATCCAACTGTTGTAGCTTTTTGCACATCAGATGAAAGTAAGAGCCTACTACTGAGAACCTCCCTTTTGTGCCCAACCTCCATCTCCATTTATCCTCCTAATTTGCTTGCAGGGTGTTTATCACCAAACAATCTTCCTCACCAAACACCTCTCTCACCTTTGGCTCCACCCAATGTCTCCCATTCTCAGCAATGAGATCGTTTACCCTCATAGACTTGCATCCTTCTTCATCAATAAGCTATGGTTTCTTGTTTGCTCCATGTATCCATTTGTAGTCATGTACACTGAGTGAAGCCCCATTTGTAACCTCCACCTCCAGACCATCTTGTAAAAGATCTTTAGCTTTCCACCAACTTCTCCATATATCAAGTACTTTCAATTTTCCACATGCCTACATCACCAAAATTCTCACAAGCACCCCAACCAAAGGCTAAAGGGGTGCTTGGATACACATATATCCGCTTAAATCGAGTTTTT